AGGGGGCCCTTGGATTTTATTATGAGTACCAGAAAAAAAAGTGTGCGGGGGGGGTTTCTTTGCGTACGCAAGTGTGCGCAAAGTAGTTACTTTGCTCACACTCATAGAAAATAGTTATTTTTGTATCTAGTACGCGAAATGCTACTTTGGTGATCGAGATCTGATTTTTTTAACGAGGCGCAGCCGAGTTAAAAAAATAGTCAAAATCACCAAAGTATTTCGCGCTCGAGTTGCAAACAATATTTTTTCTACAACTCCATTTAAATCTCGATCATTCGGAGCCAAAATTGCAATCTCAATCTCAATCTCGGCTGCGCCTCGTTAAAAAAATCAGATCTCGATCACCAAAGTAGCATTTCGCGCACTAGATACAAAAATAACTATTTTATATTATTCCACATAGGTAGGTTACCAGTATGGTAGACTACCCATGCTCTCTAGACCCAATTTGTTTGTTGCGATGTCAGGAAACTATATGCTGCCGACACGAATTGGCAGACGTTTTTTTTCTGTTTTAGGTGCTCTCATGTCCTTAACTCCCATGTCCTTGGGAAGTTCTTCAAAACCAGGATTCGAATTTGAGACTTATGCACTGAGAACATAGATAAAACCTACCAAACAAAAAAAAAAAAAATTGACAAACGCCGTAAAGTTTTCAATGTTCGAAAACTTGGTTTGGACGAAACCATTAGAAGATGCGCCACTGCTCGAAAAGATGATTGGGGCAAGGCGCGCATCAGTAATGTGAGCGAATTACATGCCGCTGATGCTTAATATCATGAAGACTGCTACATGAATTTTTTTTTGTTGAATTCAGACCGCAGAATTCAGACCGCTCGAAGAATTTGTTTCAAAAGCCATGGATATTATTTACCAATATTTGGATAATGAAGATAAATGCCAGTAGGGGAACCCGGGGCAGAACGGCATACCGGAGCACAACGGAATAGGCCTCCTAACACCAGCCGCAACTAAAATAATAAATCGAAATCGCCTTATAACCATACCCTAGACTATACTCTATGATGTTTTGATAAATGCCAGTGCGAAAACAACTTTAGTCTAACGGAATTCATACATGTCCATATTTGTGAATAAGTTTTATAATTTTTTGCGAAATTTAATAACAAAGTAAGTATTGTACATAAATAATAAGTCATTGGTATTATATTTTTCATGTAGTACATGATGTCAAGCATAAGTGGTGGAAGTGTTGATATTTTTCCTCGGTGATATTGTTTTATTTTTTTTTAAATATTTTTAAACCAAATTCGGGGCAGAACGGATCGGGGCGGAATGGTCTAGGGTAGCATTCTGCCCCGCATAAAATTAGAGGGCGGAATACTCTAGGGTACCATTCTGCCCCGCATAAAATTAGCAAGCAGTCATATGAATTTTTTCAATTATAAGAAGAGATTCACGCATGTCGTCTTTAATAGAATGCAGTCCAGATGAATCAATACCAGAATATATATTAACAATAAATAAAAAACCCAAAAATAAAAAGTTATTCGCTCGAAGATAATGCCAAAGAATAATTTAAAAAAAAAAACAAAACACAAGGATTCCTGTAAACGTCGAAACAAGTTCTTCCAGCGAAAGTGAAAGTGATGATGCCCAATGCCTCTACTGTGGAGTCTTTTACTCAAAATCTATAGAAGGTTAGAGATATCATGCTCAATCTGCAAAAAATGGGCTCATAATACTTGCGCGGGTATCGATAGCGACGACGATGAGACTGTGCTTGTCTGCAAAATCTGGCAATAAGTTTAAGATTTCTATTAAATTGTGTATTTAATATTTGAGTGTTTCATTTGTTCCCAAAAATACGGTTACTTCATTATTTTACCATAATGCCCATTCTGCCCCATAGTCGGGACAGAATGGTCATTTTGACAATTTTTTTTTTTTAGCTTCAAAAACAATTTTTTTTTCTGATAATATTCGTCTCAAACTTTTCTTGGATGTTATTTAAACAATAAAGAAGGGTTTGTCCTAAGTTGGTTTCGAAATTTCAAAATCCCTTGAAGAAAAGGCCTCTTAAAGCTTAGGTATGCCGTTCTGCCCCGGGTTCCCCTACCTACTCGATTAGTGACATTATGGACCAGATAACTGGGGAAAAGCCAGATGTGAGGACTGTGATGAATAGGCTAGTTGATAAATAGAGAGACAGAATTAAATTCAGAAAACTTAGCCAAAAAGTAACTATTGCCTGTTTTGTTGGTGACCAGATTTTGAATGATGCGATTATCAGAACCGTTAAAACAGCTGCTGCAATAATAAGAAGAGATATCCGGTCCAAAGTCTATGATTTGGCAAGCTACCCTAAAAGCGATGAGTTTTTGAATGATGCCAAAGATATGGTACCTGACACCCTCGCTGCTTTAATGGAAGCTCTCATCCCTCAGAAAAAAAGTGGTGGAAAAGAAGATTAGTAAAGAGTTAGCATTAGCCACGCTATAATTTCTGCCATTCGTCCACGCTCATTCATTTTCCCGATCCTTAGGCGAGGTACTTTCACTTGCAGATAGCGATATTTATTCTCCAGATTAGAGGATATCCTAGAGATAAAAAAAAACGTGTGTATTTTCACTTCCGTATAGTGATATCTAGGATCAGATAAATGCGGGCTAACTTTTAATTAACGTATCCTGTGGTCAGACCTAAAAATAACCGGTTTTGTCTGCCGAATAGCTCCTCGCGCAGTGTGTTTACTCTGATTTAGGTGACAACACAGAATTCTGATGACCTAATTTTCTAAGATTTGTGTTTGTTTGAAAAATTCGTTAAATAGGTGTTTTTTTTTTGTTGTTATTTACAATTTCATTTTTGTAGGGGAGAGTTGGATATTGGTGCGCGTTCGATAATGGTGCGCACCATGATAAACGAAAAACCCTTTGAGATATATGGATGAAAACCATTCCCGCGCCAACTATTTATCATGTGGTAAACGCATAAAATTAACTGTCTCAGTGTTGTTTTGTGGCTCCACAAAATAAGCTGTAAGTGTTGCACATCAAGCGATAAATAAATTCTGATTAGACAGTTTTGTTCATTGTACTTTTCTTTATAAGTTAGTTTATTTATTTGTTGAAGATTGGTTTAATTTTTCTTTGATTTTTATCATAATAAATAAAAATGCCAAGTCGTCTAATGGTGCGCAGGTGCGCACCATTACCAGACGTGCGCACTATTAGACGACTTTATTTATATCTATACATAACCCACAACTTCAATTTATTTTTATTTAAGATGTCCAAATATAGGTATACACGCAAAACCACAAAGGCGTCATGGGACACAGATTCAATGAGAAACGCAATTACCTTTATTCAAGGAGGAGGGTCAACTTATAATTTATAATCCTATGTATTTGAATAAAGTTAATTTTTCTTTCATATTCCTAACCGCTTAGCGTGCGCACGATTACCATACCTATGCGCACCATTCACCGCTTCAGTATGGTAATTGTGCGCAATGCAACTTTTTACAAAATCGGCTGTTGTCATTTTCCTAATTCAAACTGTACCGTTTTGACATGGGAATATAGTAGCTTATATATCAAACTATCGATATGCATCACAGAAAAATATCCTGACCCTTTAAATTTTCCGAAATATGGTGAAAGGCTTAGGTGCGCACCAATACCCGACTCTCCCCTACTTAGTATTTCAAATTTCAATATTTGCTCTTGAAAGCCCCTTGCTGATGATACCCTTCAAAACATGACTGGGGATGGAAAAGCAAACGGAGAAAACTCAACACATTTCTCTGAAGTTTAAAAGTTTTATTTTTTGTTAGAATAGCCGCGTTGTGTCAGTCAGGTTCAAAGCCGAGCGCACCTGAAGTTTTTTGGAAATTCCAAATTTCCAGGTAGAAGTACGACCATGTAATTTTGAGAAAGTAATTAGTATAGGGTGCCTAAGGACTACTAGAAGCCATAATATTATAGGGTTTTTCCTTTTTGATTTATTTGCAAAAATAATAGGCATAATAGGCTCTGATACACGCGCGACTAATGGAAGATTAATCAGCCACTCCCACTACACGATACAAAAATTATTTAACATAAACGCACCTTCTCTCTCCAAAAAAAACATGAGCAAATGAATGTTAAACTCAAATCCACCACAAATCAGTCAAATGACAAGTGGAATGCAGCGGCACGACAAAAACAAGCAACTAGACAAGAGATATATTCTATCTTTATCTGAAGCATTCAACTTCCCATAAGTTTTTCTCACTTTTCGTTTTCTTTGGTTGGTAACACTAGCATTGCCGAAATACTGAAGGTACCAGCAACGAATTGTTAGCCCGAGGATAATTTTACCTGAAAATACCCCTCGGAGATATACTACAGATAGCAACCTCTGGTTTACTTATCCGATAGATAGTTATTCGCCGAATAAATTATATTTATACTGAGGTGAAAGTACCGGACCTTACAGGCATTGCTTATAACATACACCATAAGTTTGGATCACGGAGCTTAATAAATTTATTGTCTGCCTTCGGGTTTAGTGGTTCATATTTTCATGCTCAGCTGACAGAACATTTCGGCAATATGTTTTTGATAACGCCTACTTCAATGTTGCCACTCTAGATGGACGGGACGCGTTTCACAGTTTAGGAGGTATCAAATGCATGAGATCTGCTCAAGCTCTTCTAAAATCCGATAATATCGAACGGCTCACAACAGCTCCTGCTGTACTTGAAGTGGAAAAGCTGAGTGTTTTGGAGCTGCTCACCTATGACAATGTACGCAGAAAGGGATCCCGTTGGGAAATGACGGAAAATGGCTCTCTCTTCTGAACACCCCGCCATGCCAAAAATCCCAAAGTGGAAGGGCTTTTTGCCTGTGGCTTCTGATCCAATCAATACTGAGCAAAGTGTAATCAATAAGTCACTACCGAGTAATCTTGACATTTTGTATACAGCCCTGAAATAGGTATACAGCAGAAGACGCACATCGGCAAGGGTTTCCAACTTATTTGGTAACAATGGATCAGCCAATATATCTTAAAGTTAGAGAAATCGTAGCATCTTGTTGTGATGACCCGATACTGGGCAAAGTAGAAATGATTATTGGTGGGTTTCATATGCTCATATCTTATTTGGGTTGTATTGGACAAACTATGGCTGGAAGTGGACTGAAAGAACTTTTGTCCTGCGCTTTGGCTTTGAATTCAATAGACAAAATGTTAATCGGAAAATCATATAGCAGAGCAGTGAGAGGTCATTTACTTGTTCAAGCCACTTTAGCTCAGATTACTTTGGAAAATATAGATATCACACCAGAAGAAAAAGAACAAGTAGTTCAGCGACTTCAGACTTCAGTGGAAATTACTCCATAACATATAGCCACAAATTCCTCCCTTGCCAGCATTCAGCGAAAATTAAGCAGCGAATTGTCACATCTCAAAATGGGCCAACAGCAGCTTTGTGGGTCCAGTCCTTCGAAATGGTGGTGTTGATGAAAAGATTCATTGCAGTACAGCGCACTGGTAACTGGGAAAATCGGAAAAACGGAATAAAACCAAGCTATTACCATGTTAGTTCAAGCACTAAGTGCGATGTTAATAATGTTATATTCAACATTAATGTACCAATATCTACAACTCTAATCTATATTTATTCTGTTTATTCACAGATGTGCTTCGTGAAATCAAGTGCAAAAATGAAAGCCAAGCGGTGTGCTTTGCCGCCTACAAAAGAAGCTGCCATGTGACATTCTTACAGAGTGTATCTGCAGGTACAACAATGGTTGGGGAACGAATTCCTTCTTGCTGAAAGTTGGGGTTGGATAAGAAAAGATGGTGGATACCTCAACCTCATCAAGACAGATGCCCCTTTGGCTCCAGAGAGTGTCCTCGAAACACTCTTCTGTCGATGTACCACTGGCTGCGGAAAAAGGTGTGGTTGCAGGAGACCTAGTATGAACTTCGATGGTGTGCAACTGTCAAGGCTCCTGTACAAACAGTGTGCACATGCAACAAGACTTGGGACATTTTGATGAAGAGCTTGATCTATTCGGAGCTTTTTCCGAAGAAGATGAACTTTTAAGAACAAACGAAACTTAAGCAACGAGCATTTTGATAGCGAAATGTTAAAACCTCGGTTAAAAACGTATCTCTAAACTTTCAAACACCTTAACCACTTACTGGGTTTGGGTGAAGTTGCAAAATTACCTCTATATCTACAAGCATTTGAAGAAATTTTATTATTATACAACTTTTTTTCTTACTGTAATATCAAGAAAAAAATTTACAAAATGGTGATAGAGCATAAAGGGCTAAAGACATATTTACGAGACACCTGAACCGCTACCACTTTTTTTGACAATTTTGCATATTCAGCGGCTCATACGGGGGTTTCATTTCAAAACTTGCCACCCACGTTGTCTGCGTAAACAGGCATATTTGCGGAAATCGCCGAAACACGTCAACAAACATTGAGGGGAAGGTTTTTTACGTAAAGCTTGACTTCGCCCCTTCAACACCCTAAGCCCTAGGGCTACCTCCCAAAATTTTCACAAGAGACAGGGGGTCGAGTGATAGATTATTTTAAAGGGCTGTTTAATCTGTACATTTTGCCGTTCTATTTTTTGCATTTGACCTCAGTGTTACAGAATAACACCCCTTTCAATGTTTAAAAATGTCTATTTATTTTTAAACACACCTGCTTCTTTATCTACCTACCTTTTTATCACAGCAACAGGTAATAAGCAGGTGTGTTTAAGGATAAATAGACATTTTTAAACATTGAAATGAGTGTTTTTCAGCAACACTGAGATCAAATTTAAAAAATAAGACGGCAAAATATACAGATTGAACAGCCCTTTAAAATAATCTATCACTCGAACCCCTGTCTCATTTGAAGGTAGGTAGCCCTAGGGTTTAAGGGGTTGAAGGGGCGAAGTCCAGTTTTACGTAAAAAACCTTCCCCCTCAATAAATCTGTTGACGTGTTTCGGCGATTTCCGCAAATATGTCTCTTTACGCAGATAACGTGGGTGGCAAGTTTTAAAATGAAAGCCCTGTATATGGACAACGGTAATACTTAGGTATAAATACATATACGATTCGAAAGGAAATTTCATTAGCTTCAATTTTACAGGGTATAAAATTTTTTGTGCACCATTCTCGAGATAAAATCCGAAAACTGAAAAAGATCTGTTCCTTATAATTAGTGCGGCCTCTACAAATTAAACAAAAAAATAAAATGAAAAAAAAAGTTAAAACCAAACTTGTAGGGTTTTATCTCTATTATCTTTCGCAAATGTCAAACCGGGAAAATGACAGGTGCCAATTATCATAATGACATACACTTGCATTTTTTTAAATGGACAACCCTTAATTTGACAAACATTATTTCACTTTCTTGTCATATTTGAATCAGAGGAAATTTTATCAGTTGTTTTACAATTTAAAAAAAAAGTTTGCAGAGTGGAAAAGCCGAGAAAGAAATACAGATTGTCGACTGAAGATCTTAAACAACAATATAGAGGTTCAGGAAAATTCAGATGAAGGAAGCTCTGCTGGTTCCCATGAAGATAAAAATAAATGTCTAGTGCAGGAGGAGGTAGTAACAGAGATACTTGAGAAAAAAACAGTCCAGTAACCCGCAAAATGAATAAATGAATTGATGTTTCATGTGTTGTGATATGAAGCTCCTACCTGATACAGAACAGCTATATTATCCAAAAGAGCAGTCCAGTAAAGCAATGGAAGAAGAAAGGATGTCGTGGAAAATAGAACTTGGTCTCTACATAGCTGAAGTATTGTCACCAATGCGTACTCAGATAAGACGGGTGGTATGACTACTAACAGGACACTGCCAGTTTAAAGCGCACATGCAGAAAATGAGAGTCTACAATGGCTCAATGACAAATAGACTGTGTGGTGAAGAGGAGGGAACGGCCTTATACATAATATACGACTGTGAAGCATTGGCTCGCACACAATTTATTTAGAGAAATACAACGTGGCGAAGGACTCCTGCATGATAAAATTGCCAGCAAACCGCTAGATCTCACCAAAGAAATGGAACCGCGTTAACAAGACAGGGCAATAAGCCTTAAGGCTGTCCTGCAAATCGGTACACGAACACGCCTGACCCCGCCTTAAACCAACCAACCAGTAAACAACCAACCAACCATGTAGCATTCATCCTTATTTGTATTACCTACAGCAATATTTTTCACTGTTACTGTTTGCTGTGAAGAAACTGTAAGTTTTACAAGTTGATTCAAGAAATTCAATTAAAATTGAGCTTACACGCTAAGCCTAATTTTTTTAAAGATTCAACCAGCTTTTTGAGTATTCCTTTCAGCTCTAATATCAAAGTTCAAAACAACACTATAAAGAAATTATATAAAAAGCTGCACTCACTAAGCTACTAAAAATGATATTTTCAAATGTGAACAGCATATCAAAATTAACCGAGAAATTAACCAAAAATTAATTTAATTGAAGACTATTTCACTAGAGTGTTTTACCACAGCATATACAAAAACAATCAGCAGGCTAACTCGAGTGACAGCCCGTGTAATAAAGGAATTCGTGATCGGGACGTCACTAGCAGCCATTTTGGGATACAAAACAGGAAACAGGGCCTAATTAACAATAATTTAGGATTTTTCTTCCGTTTCACAGAGTCGTATTGCCCGTATTGGCTTTAAATAAATTACTGTTTGGGAAAATAAACTAATTTAAGTGTCACCTAAAGAAAATAAATTTTCTAAATAAAAATTTGGCTTGTTTTTCTTGTGAAATAGTCCAGCCCTTAGATTATATACAGGCTAACACCTAGATACGCAATGCATTCAAAATAAATTCAGCCAAGAAGGGGTCACATTCTAATCCCATGTCTTATACCAAGTATGCACTGATGCGTTGAATAAGTAGAAAAACCTGAAGCGATTTTTTTTAAACGATTTGATTGGTCATCACTTGTCAACGCGAGTTTATTTGGTTTATGTGGGAATCAGCTTTTAGGGCCGTGCGTAAAAATTTTGTGCCGTAGTGACGGCACTTCTTGAGGAATGGCTGAAACAGCTGATTTTCGATTTGTTGTTTTGTGATTTTGTTCTCGCGTTTTATTGTGATTTTGATGATTTTGAGCTCTGTTTTTTATTCAAAAAAATATCAAATTTAATACATGTGGAGAATCATGCTTCAGCTCTGCCTGGTTTGTGGAAAAAATAATGAGGATTTCCTAACCTTTTCTTCAACAGGTAAGTCAATCAGTGGCGCACCACCTGTACAGGGTGGCCCAAATTCGAGCCTCATCATCGGGATCTCGGTAACCGTAAGAGATACGGGGTCGGTTAAATTATGGCAAAGTTGCGCAATTTTATGACCAATAGAGTGCCGTTTTGAAACTAGAAAGATTCCGAATACTTCCGGAGATATTCGGAAAAAACCGAAATTTTGTAAAATCGTTATTATTTTTTCCTGGGCTTATTTGAAGAGCAATTTTAAAATAAAAGTCACTTCATCATTGTCACTTTTCCACCTTTAAAAGATAGTGCTACTAAATTTAAAATTCGACGTTTCGTCTTCAGGCGGCCATCCTCAACTTCCTTTTTTTAAATACGGACCTGGATTTTTTATTTGCGATTTTGTCATCTTTGGGCATCCTAAAACCGATACTGTTTATAATTTTTCAATAACATAGTAAAAAAAGCAGGTCCGTATTTGAAAAAAATAAATTGATGATGATTGCAGAGGAAAGAAACGTTGGATTTTAAATTTAATACCGCCATCTTGTAGAGAAGAAAAAGTGACAATGGGAATGTAAAATTAGTTTTTCACAATCTTTTTAAATAAAATCAGGAAAAAATGAAAACTATACGAAAAGAACATGAATTTCTCGTTTTTCTTAAATTTTTTCTTGATTCCATTTAAAAAGATTTTGAAAAACTGATTTCATATTCCCATTGTCACTTTTTCTTCTCTACAAGATGACGGTATTAAATTTGGAATCCAACGTTTTGTTCCTCTGGAATCATCATCAATTTATTTTTTTTAAGTGCGGACCTGCTTTTTTTACCGTGTTATTGAAAAATTATGAACAGTATCGGTTTTAGGATGCCCAAAGATGACAAAATCGCAAATAAAAAATTCAGGTCCGTATTTAAAAAAAGGAAGTTGAGGATGGCCGCCTGAAGACGAAACGTCGAATTTTAAATTTAGTAGCACCATCTTCTGAAGGGAAAGAAGTGATAATGATGAAGTGATATTTATTTTAAAATTTCTCTTCAAATAAGCCCAGAAAAAAATAAAAACGATTTTACAAAATTTCGGTTTTTTCCGAATATCTCCGGAAGTATTCGGAATCTTTCTAGTTTCAAAACGGCACTCTATTGGTCATAAAATTGCGCAACTTTGCCATAATTTAACCGACCCCGTATCTCTTACGGTTACCGAGATCCCAATGATAAGGCTCGAATTTGGGCCACCCTGTACTTGTTATTAATTGTATTATCCGTACAGAGTTCCAGCCGTTATCTAATTCCAGTTTCAGGTAGAAAAACTACGATGGAATTTCATTGAAATGGAATAAAACATTACGGCAAATCTCAGGCGTCGTTCGTTCACAACCAGAATGGAGCTTTACGAATAATAAAAATGTGTAGGTACCTACCTGTATGTATCTATTTAATTTACGTTGATAGATAAGATAGAAAAAGAACAGTTTGATTAATTATTATGTAAACAATGTATCAATGAAAAGAACAAAATTATTATTCTTTAATCACATTTTCTTGATTGAAATAAAATATTACATATTAATTTGCTTACGAATTATTTTAGTTGATTTCTATAATTTTAAGCAAATAAAGCTTAATGTACTTACTTGATATGATTTTAACTAGGTGGGTATCTCAAAAAAATAGCATCAAAGTTGAATTTAACAAGCATTGTATACTTACCTATGCATATTATAATATTTTGTAAATTTCAGATTTCAGATACGTGTATGTGAATCAAAATTTATTGTTTGTATCATTTGAAAATAAATTGGCTTTGTATCATTGTCGTTTTATTGAAATTAATGCTCATGCAACAGGCCCAATCAGGTATGGAATTTTTCAAATTTTAAGAAATAACTCAAAAGTTAATGTTTTTGGCGTTAAAAAATGCAAATAGTATGTATATGTAGTCAAAACATAAAAAAATAACATTTTTTAGGCGACTGTCACAAAAAGCTTAGTTTTACGGATTCAATATCATCCCTAAAGTATATCTTTTTTGGCCGCATTTACTTTACGGCCGCATTTGCTTCACGGCCGCATTTGCTTTATTACTTTACGGCCGCTTTTACTTCACGGCCGCTTTTACTTTACGGCCGCTACTTTGGTGAAAATAAACACACAATCGGAAACGCAGTGCCGTAACCATCAACACAACCAATAAACAATTAGTTAGCAACTACAATGGAACCAAGTTTTTAATTTTAGCTCTATTCAAATTCTCACATAAAATGCTAAAAAAAAACGGCATGATTAAAAATTTGGGAGAAGTATTTTCTTGCATTTTTTTCGGAAAATGCCAAAATTAAATAATCCTCAGCGTTATGATCTTCAGGTCCACCTATGTTATACTCTATGTTAAAATTTACAATTATAGTCGGAAATACCTAACATATCAGCAAGTTTTCAAAATTGATTGTTTTTTTTAAAAAGCTCAATGTAAGATACTAGGCGAAAAAGTCGGCAATTTTCTATAAACACACTCTCTTTATCGTAGTTTTTGTTATTAATAATTGTATATCTACCTATCTTTGCTGGATTATTTATTTGATCAATAAAGTTTAAAGCTACTGTTGAATTTTCTTCTTTTTTGAAGAACAAACACTCACCTAAAAAATTTTGTGTGCACCTCGGCCGAATGATCTTTTTTGGCCTCACCTGAAATTTGCTTGGCCTCGGCTGCGCCTCGGCCGCAAATTTCTGATTCGGCCAAAAAAGATCAACTTTACGGCCTTGGTACACAAATAACTATTTTATTCTCACTTCTGTGAAAATAACTTTTTTAAAAATCTTGATAGGCAGGCGAAAGCGAAGAAAATATTTTGTCAATTGTGTTTTTTCTATATTTTAAAATATATTTTGATCCGACCGATGCTCCGCTCATGATCACTTTCCTCGGGCCAGTCACAATCTAAGCGCAGTGCACATGTCCACAAACTTGTGGAATAAATAAACAAACCCATTCATAAAGACGTTGGACGGCTTTGTTGATGTTGGCCGAAAGATTTGGGTGATTTATGAATGACTATGCGTATCTAGGTGTTAGCCTGTATATAATCTAAGGTCCAGCCGAATACCACTCAAGAAAAAATGATTCTCTTGGTTTTATTTAGGTTTGTTGCTTTTTGGTAATTTCGCTCATGAAATTGCCAAGCCAACAAAATGTTTTCTCTTGTGGTATTATACCTATATGATTATATTTAACATGCTGCTCACAAACTTGTTCCTTCTACCTTTTATCAAACTTACTCAATAACGATGCTTTCTGCTTTTAGCGATATTTTTCCTTGTAAATAATTTGAATCCGTCCTTTGTGAATCGCACGTCCGGATCTTCGATTGGAACTTGCGTGCTGGAACATTGCAGTTTGGCTGAATGGGCATTTTTTATTATTGATAGATGCTCTAGATCCCCCTAGAAACAAAATGCTTGCAAATGTGAAAGCAATGTGTCCAAGTTACTTACAGTGAATAAATAACCTATTATAATATCACAGTCATTAGGTATATCTAGGGTATGGGCTAGCAAAATTTCTGTCCTGGACCATTCACAGTCAACGAATACGTCCAAAATGCTTTCATCTCGAACACTGAAACAAAATCAAATCCATAAAAAAATTGAAAGTCTTTCGGGTGCAAATAAAGTTCTCAAAATCTAATTTTAAATTTTCTTCCTCACCTAAAAGCTATTTGATGCCATTGAGCATCGTCCAATCCGGCAGGTATTCTAACTACGTCCGTGCCGGTCTCGGCAGCGTGAATTAACTTTAAATCAGATCCAGCTACTTCTAAGGATAAATACGTTTGTTGTTTGGATCGTGAACGTAAGCTGAATACGGTCCCTAGAGTTACCTGAAAGACATTTTTATTTACTAGTAGGCTATTGATAGATTTTTATTTTGTTTTTAGCTTCTTGAGGAGTCGATGATAAAAGTTGTTTTTTAAAAATATGTTTTAAATTGCAAAACTCTTCGATATTGAGTAGCTGTGGCACAATAAGAATTTGAAGAAACATTCATATTTAAGATAAGGCTTTATCAACAATGCCACCGTCGTATATAGAGATCCCAGAACTCTTCTTCTACATACTATAATACTCATGACCAAATTGACGTTAATTTTGCCGGCTTGAAAATATAGCACTCCAAAACTTAGTAGATGTTAGAGGATAATATTGCAAATTAGCTAGTTTTATTGAAGCAGCACATTCTATTGTGTAACGTAGAAAGGAATAGAGGCAGCAAAACTTTCTCTTAATAAAGTTTATGAAGTTGGAACAGAATTTGCAATCAGAATCTAGCACATGTCGGCAGAAAACTCTAGTGAAATAACTCAATGGGCTCTTTCACTAAAATTTAAATACGTAATTTAAGTATAAAATCTCAAAGGAGGGACTATTTTAGGCATATATACCAAAAAAAAAAAAGTTCTACAAGGTTCAATAAGTTTTTCATAGGCAATCAAAAGTGCCTAAATTCAAACTATTTTAAAACGCGCCGATTTGCCGACGTCACATAAATATTCTTCATTTCGCTTATGTCGTTGCAAGGAGGAAGGGCTCGGCTGTGTTTGCGCTCTGTAAAGATACGTAAAGGTTCGAATGCGCTGTTGTCGGTTGTGACTAAATGTAGTGCAGCGTAAAATAAATAAATAAAACTAAACATAAAAAATTGCATTAAATTGTATTTAAGCATAATTTAAAAAAAAAATGTTATAAAATCTTGAATCTATAACTAATTAATTTAACTACTTTTCATGAGATTTTGCCAACATTTCAGAATTAAATCTATTACAAATTTTCAATGTTGACAATTAGTGGCAACACGGTCAAATTGCGAGATGCGACGTCATAGAAATAAATTCTGGGTTTTTATTTGGAGGTATTTCTTTGTTTTCTGTTTTCTCAAGAAGGACTTTGAATTTTTCAAAAGTAAAAATACAGAAAATTCTGTTTTTAGTTGCTTTATCCAAATATGCCAATTTCAAAAATTAGTGAAAGAGCCCATTAAACCTCCTTCGAGCTTTCTCGGAAAATAACAAAATAATTTGTTTTATGTAGCTTTAACAAAAGCAAAATTAACTTTCTATTTTATTAAAGCTTTCGGAAAATGTGTGTCCTGTAGTAATTTGAACTAAGTTTTGTAACATGCTAAATGTCACTGTTTTTGTTTTTCCCATATACTATTTTATAAATTAAATTCTCGACTTGAATACTGACAGTCTCGTGACTGAGAAAAAAGGTTTCTGCTGCTAATAATATTAGCATTTATCAAACTAGAGGGCACGATTTTCGTTTAAGTTTGAAGTACCAGTTTAGTAACAACACTTTCCGGTGGCTATTTTTGAGGGTAAGCTCTGCCTGTTCATCTTGTCTGATTCTTTCCTCAGCCCCTTTCAAATTTTTTCGTTCGTCCTTGGGTCCTATACTTATATATTTGAGGATTTGCATTATATCTCCTGACCATTTAACAAAACTTCTGGTTTCATACAGGTGCAAGTTGATTTTATTGAATTTATTCTCTAAGCTGACCATATTTATCAGAACAATTTTTTTTTAGTTTTCTGGAAACTTAAATGTTTTATATTTTCATTTCATGATAATGATATGACCAACGACTGTAAATGAACTTATATGGGAAGTATATTGAGGTACAGGGTTATCCAACGAAAGTTCTTTTTACCTTATATACCTGTTAATTGGAGAGATACAAAAAAATTTAAATATAAAAGTTGTTGGGATTTGTATAAGGAATTAGGAGCATTTATAAAAAAAAAAGGAATTGTGGTTTAGACAATATAGCAAAAAATGTTACATTTCTTACTTAATTTAAATGGAATTACCCATTTTTGAATATGTTTTTGGATTCCACATTAAATTTGAGTCCTGATATAATTATGTTACATGTCCTATAGTTAAACTTAGCAACTCTGGAGATATCGCTAATCAATGATTTTTCTAAATAAATTACGAAAAAAATTATATTTCATCGTTGGAAGCTGGTAAGAGTGGTAAGTTCCCGTTAAGTCTTGCTTATTAGTATTGTTTATAATTATTAGGATTGAAAATGTGTCCAATATTAGATGAAATATGCAAAATATTGCTTTAATCCAGCTTCACCTGGTTCACCTTTTACTTAATTTACCTGAGTAAAAGGTGAACCAGGTGAAGCTGGATTAAAGCAATATTTTGCATAATTGATCTAATATTGGACACATTTTCAATATAATAATTAAAAACAATAGTAATAAGCAAGACTAGATGGTAACTTACCACTCTTACTCGCTTTCAACGATGAAATATCATTTTTTTCGTAGTTTATTTTAAAAAAATCATTGATTAGCGATATCTCCAAAATTGCTAAATTTAACTATAGGACATGTAATATATATCAAGGCTCAAATTTAATGTAGAATCTAAAAACATATTCAGAAATGAGTAATTCCATTTAAATTCCATTTAAATTAAGCAAGAAATGTAACATTTTTATCTATATTTTCTAAACCCGACTTTCCATTTTTTTTTAATGATAAATGCTCCTAATTCCTCATAAAAATCCCAACAACTTTTATATTATTTTTTTTTTGTATCTCTTCAATTAACAGGTATATAAGGTAAAAAGCACTTTCGTTGGATAACCCTGTACAGGGTGTCCGAATTTGGATGGTTTTAATAGGAAACATCAAGTTCTTAGCAAGATACAAAAAAATGAACCCTCCACTCCGAGGCTCAAATTTCTTGAAATTTTGATTGGTGCAAACCGCATTTTGATATCTTCAACCGTTTAGCCGCTAGAGGGCGATTCTCGATTTTGAGCAATAATGTGAAACCATCATAACTTTTTTGTTTATGAAAATTATTGATTTCCGTAAAAACTTTCTAGAAGCACTTTTTCAAGCAGAATTCAGTGACGTTCTCAGTTTTTTTCTAGTTGGTCCCAACTCCGAGATATTGACCAAAGTCTGTTTTTTTTTTTTTTATAGGACACTCTATATATTAATAGCTCATTAGAAAGCTTGGCTTTTTCTGATTTCAATGATATAAAGTTCGATAGGTTTATCTCTAATAGTTTTGGAGAAAAAAAATTATTTCGGTTTATGTCATAAGAAGCAATGTGTAAGAAAAGGACATTATATCCGTAAGGAAACTGAGGATGGTCTCTTTCTAACTCATTGTTTCTTATGACAAAAGCCGAAAAATTTTTTTTTCTCGAAAACTGTTAGAGATAAACCTATCGAAGTTTGTATCATTGAAATCAGCAAAAGCAGAGCTTTCTAATGAGCTATTAATATATAGGGTGTCCCATTGAAAAAAATCGGAATTTGGTCAATATCTTGAAATCGAGGCCCAATAGAAAAAAACTGAAAACGTCACTGAATTCTACTTGAAAAAGTGCTTCTAGGAAGTTTTTACGGAAATCAGTTATTTTTATAAACAAAAAAGTTATGAAGATTTCACAGTATTGCTCAAAATCGAGAATCGCCCTCTAGTGGCTAAACGGTTGAAGATATCAAAATGAGGTTTGCACCAATCAAAATTAAAAGAAATTTGAGCCTCGGAGTGGGGGGGTTCATTTTTTTGTATCTCGCTTACAAATTGACGTTTCCTATTAAAACCATCCAAATTCGGACACCCTGTACATTGTAATATTTTTTCATTTTTTTAATATAATGAATCTGATTGAGAGTTAACCTCTATTTATTGATTTTATTTGAAGTGTATTAACAACAATTGATTTTTTATTTTAAAATTATCCAATCTTGATTTTTGACCTCACTGTGAAAATATAGGTATATTTTGATTTGAAAATTGCTTGAATGTTTTATTGGTTTTACCTATGTCAAGATTTGGTTGAGTTATATGCCTTATTTTTTTTTTCCTTTCAGAATTATCGATTATCGTTTGCTAATTTTCACACTTCAATATTTAATATACCACACTGTACATATTAGAATTAATTAATTATAAGCAACCTACTTTATTATTGCAAATGACGATCATTAGTATCAGCATTTATTGTATATAAAAGGCAATCAATTTCATCAATATAAACCGATTCAAACTTATTGTTGTTTCTGTTACTTGAATTGTGCCCAAGTCACCATTGGCCTAGCAACGCTAGTTAGAGTCGTGAGACTGTGCTCTAAGCACTACTTTTGCTTTACCCCTATTGTAGCAGGTGCTTTGTCTGGTGACAGGTTTTTAACTTAACCCTTATAGCAAGTGCTTTGTCTAGCTAGGGTCTTTTTTCCAACTTACAACAAGTGCTTCAGTCTGGTTGTAAGTTACCTGTCTTACGCCCTAGCGCAAGTGCCATGACTTTAAGTCCTGTCTGGTACCAAGGCCCTTCTGCTCTTCTATCCTAAACCATCAGGATCAAGCAGAAAATACCATCCAGATAATCAAAGTCTCTTGGAGCGCATACATGGTCCTTCGAGCAAAAATTCACAACGGTCAAGAATCAGCGGCCTGCAACAGCGAGCAACCACATTCCTAGAGGTCCCACCAGTAGCAATCCACAGGTCCAACCAAGCTGAGCAGCTATCAGCCACGATCCCAGAGGTCCCACCAATAGGGGTCTCACCAATAGCGGTTCCAGAGGAAAAACTAACCCCATTGCAAGATCAACAGAACAATGGCGGAAGAAAGGAACTTACGTGCTGCTCAGCAAGAAGAACTAGGCAAAAAGATCATGCAGCTGTATTCCAACTGTAAAAAAGATGGCCAATCAAGAAAAACTGAACAGTAGATATGTAGAACAAAAACTTGGAGCACTAGAAGATCTATGGGATGCAGTTCAAGAAAGTGATCATGAACTAAACAAGTTCAATGAACCAAACCACGCCTACTTTAC